AAAAATATGTAGTGTGTTACAAGATTATGACAATAAATAATTTTTGTATTGTTATGCACGTATATTAACAAAGTTGTTTAACGGATGAATTAATTTCAAAAGGTGTGAAATGGCAAAAGGAAAAATAAGAACTTTTTGTTTGGCACTATTAATTTTACAACTTTTTATTCTTACATTCATTTGCCCAGCTCTTGGTAATTTAGATCTTATTATTATATTTTTATAATTTAAGCAAACTTGACATGTTTAAGTTCTTTTTATAATACAGCACTATCAAAAGTTCTCATGTTTGATCAAACTAATGGAGAACTTAACTATAATAAAGATGTTGAATATTCGTAAGAACAAACTAATTTTTAACAACTTACTAGAAATAAATTTCTTTTTAATAATATTTGTTTTATTTTTTATTTTTTTTATAATGGGTATAAATGTTTAGATATATCGCACTCAGCTGGTAATAACAATTATTTTATTTGAATTTTGAGTAAATGATTAATACGGTACTATTAATACCTTAGCAATTAGTTTCCTTTCAATGTTTTGTTGGTTTTTTTTTAATATGAAAGACTTTAGATACTATATTTACTTCAATGAATTCCTTAATTGATTTTAAGAAGTAAAAGATATTAAAGAGTAATAAGGACATTTTGTTTTAGAGCTTTAACAATTATTACATCAGTAGCTTGGTTTGTTCTACCAAGTAAGTTTTGAAACTTTAGAGTGACTAATTACAGTATAACATGTAACTTTTTTAACCTAGTTATTTACAGTTATTTACACCATATTCACTATACATGAAATTGATCCGACCCCATTTGATTGTGAGTACAACTTTAAATTTGCAAAAAGTAAAACTGCTTGTAGGATTCGAGCAGCGAATTTTATTTTTATGTGGTTATATTTAGCTTACGCGATAGTCAGCCTTATAATCATGATTACTTTGATGTTTGAAGAAGATAAAAACTTGACAACACTGAAGAGGATGAAAAAGTAAAAAATATAACACTGAAATGAATGAGATAAATAATGAAATAGTTGAAGAAAGTGATGATAAAGCTAATATATGAATTACCCAATGATGTGTATATAAGTCTAAAATAAAAAAAGCATGTTGATTTGTGTTTGCTCGGGAAGGCAAAGTGGCGGATTAACATAAAAATAAATGTTACTAATAAGGTCTTGCTAATATGGTCTTACACAAGAAAAATGTAATAATAAAAATCATTACGAAAATTTCGTAAAAATTGACGCTTTTGTGAATATTTAGTTAATGAATTAAGTTTTGTTACTGTCGTAGGCAATTACTTCAAAATTTTATTGATATTATACTTGGAATTCAGACCGATTTTAGTAATAATAAAATATTTGAAGTGCTTTAAATACCTAAAGTGGCTAATTCTAAGTAGCTATTTTAAAGTGGATACTTCAAATATTTAATTTGCAATTTAGTTCAAGTTTTTATTTTCTAATTTTCAAATTAAATCATTTCTTTTTCATTAAAAAGAAAAATTTTCTAATATTCTAATGTTTATTAAAAATTTAATGAATATTTTACCGAATTTGTTCAAGTAGTTACTGAGAAATCTTAAAAATTGAGATGTGAACTGCAACTGTAATTTACCATATTTAATCTTTGATGAAAATTCAAGTTATCGATTTTTCGTCAAGATACAATTGACTTAGTTTTTTTGAAAGTTTATTACAAATCGTGATACTGACCAATTATATTTTTTGTATTTTTTTACGAAAATGGATAATTGATAAACATCGTGATACTGACCAATCATATTTTTTGTATTTTTTTTACGAAAATGGATAAACATCATGATACTGACCAATTGTATATTATAAAAATAGCGTTATTATCAAATAATTTCTGTTTTTTCCAGAGAAATTGAATTTAAAATAACTTAATATTAAAGCTAGGATTGGATTTTAAATTAAATTAGGTATTTGGAAATAGCTGAAGTAAATTAGCATTGATTTATGTAATATCATTAACAATAGAAAATATATAAATGAATTAGATTGATTTGTACATCAACTTTTTTAATGCGATTTTAAAGTCAGCGATAATGATTATTTTTTAAAAGAACCAAAATATCTCGAGTTATTTGATAATCCCGATCATAATAAGGTATCTGATAATTTTTTCGCCATATTTTTATACTTATATTCAGACTAAAAAAATGGCCAAGAATGATTTTGTTGAGCTTATTAAAAAAATTGAAGAGAAAAAAACCAACAGATAATAATAGATTTGGATTTGTGATTCAAATATGTGAATATATTTTGGTATGGAGTTTTCCTAGTTGTAGAAAGATTAAAATAGTTCCTTTTTTATGTTAAAGAGATCTTTACTTAACACTATAAATTTTGAGAATATAATTCAACTTAATTGTGACTTTGTTAAAACTACAGTATTAAGAAAATATCAAAAGTGAAACCTTTTGCTCATAAAAAGTTTAGATTTCTTCATAAAAATAACCACCCATTATAATATTATGCTAAATCTTAATTCTATGTTGAAACAAGTATTCATAATGAGGTTTGCTTTTAGCAATTAAGTCATAAACATGTTGAGGATATTCAATTTCTTCATTATTGATTGATTTGTCAAATCCTGTGCTTTGCATTACATTCCTGTTTTTTATTTATAATATAGTTAATATATGAAAAGAAAAATTAATTGAAAATAATAACGATAAACATACTTATGCCACAAATAATCTAGATCTGGGCCTGACAATTTTAAATCCCATATTTTCAGCCTTTCTTCTTTCCATTCAAGCATTTCTTTTTTAAATTCTACGTTGACCAGCTCACAATATTTTCTCAAAATTTTCTCTAGTTCTCGAACTAAATCATCAGCATCTACTAAAACAATCTCCTCTCCCGTTATGTTCTTAATTAAATCATAAAGAATCTTTGATTCTTTGAGTCAAACTTTTTCAGGAAAAAAATGTCATATCATTCAGAATTAGGTAAGCAGGCTTTATCCCAAGCTTTATATGTAGAATTTGCAGCTTTGTAAAAAGACTTTACGGATTTTTCTGGATTCCTAATAATGAACGTATGTTTAAATTTTGAAAGAATTTCCTTGGATCCTAATAGATTTCCTTCTAGATTTCCTTCTAATGCATCTAAAAAATTGGATGTATGATCCTTCACAAAAACTCTTAAGGTATGTGTTTTATCATCATCATAGTAATGAGGGGCAAGAATTTCATTAAGAGTAGGCGAGAAATAATGTACAAAGGTGATCGGATCAGTAGGTTTAGGTAACAGAATTTGATTCAAAAATTTTAAGTTTTTGGTCACATATGCACGACTAATTGGATTAATTGATTCATGGATAACATGGAATTCTTGAGGACATTGAAGAAATGGTCGTTCGAAAACTGTAGAAAGAGATCTCGGATGGGACCAAAGAATAATGGGTCTTTGATCCTCCATTTTTATCAATTACAATATATTTAATAGTTATGAATATGTATAATTGAATTTTTAATTGAATTTTTATTCATTCATATTTTTATTAGTGTTATAATTTAAAATTATGGTAGTTTCGATGATTTTTTACTATTGTAATCTATTTACTGTGTTACAAGAATAAAGCGATTTTTTGTGATTTGTATTTTTGTATTGTCAAAAGAACTTGTGTATTGTTATGCACATATTAACGTTAAAATTAGATGTTGGTTGGATTAGTGAAATGCCAAAAGGAAAATAAGAACTTATTGTTTGTCACTGTTGATTTTACAACTTTTATTCTTACATTTCTTTGCCCAGCTCTTGGTAGATATCCTATTTGATCTAAGCAAACGTTGACGTGTGTTTGGGTATATAGCACTGGCAAAAGTCCTTACGTTTGATCAAACTAATGGAGAACTTAACTATAATAAAGGTGTTGAATATTCGTAAGAACGAACTAAGTTTTAATAATAAAATTCTTTTTATTTTTTTTAATTATATAGCAGCTAGTAAGAACTTCATTATTTTATTCGAATTTTGAATAAACCTCAAAAATATAACATATTTTTTAGCAATTAGTTTTCTTGATTTTTACTTTCATTTTTTCTTTGAAAAGTAATAGGTATTAAAAACTATTAAGCAACATTTTGTTATAGAGCTTTAACAATCATTACATCAGTAGCTTGGTGTTCTACCAAGTAAGATTTAAACCTTTAGAGTGACTAGTTTACAGTATTAAAAAGTAACCTAGCTATTTACACCATCTTCACTATACATGAAATTAATCCGATCCCATTTGATTGTGAGTATTAAGAAGCGATTACTCAAATATATTAATATAAAAGTAGTAGAAAGATATGGTAAAACAAGAAAAAATATAGAGTTTTCAAATATAGTTAGTTAAAACACAAAAATATGTATAAAATATATAAATACTTCTAGTAAATTTAAATTATAGTTTATATAGCTGAATATTTTTAGTTGTATAATTGATCGATTCAATCTGAACATATGACTTGAGTTACCAAATCAATCTTGATTCGGGCCTTAATTTAAAAAAGTGCTAAGCCTGCTCTTCAAGATTTTATGGCACTGTATGATATAACAATATATTTTTAAGAGTTTTTGAGTTATGTATTAAATCCCTTTTTATTCACCTCTCGAAGCGAAAAAATTTTTAATCAACATATTTTAAAAATAAGTCATTATCTCCACTATTACATAATATATAGATTTCTAATACATAACGAAGAATATTAATGACGTAATTTAAGAAACTATCAAGGGTCATCAATTGACATCATAATTATTAAATTTTTAATCAAAGAAACTCTAGTCAAATTGTAATAAAATATAAATAATTGTACTGGAATTTTTTTCTTTTTATTTTATTCGAAAAAATCGACTCTCTTTATATTGTTAAAAAAAACAATGTTTGAAACCGTAAATAATAAAGAAGAGATTATTAAAGTTTCAATCAATTTAATTTGGAAAGCATCAGATGGAAAAGTTGTTTCTGTTAGTTTCAATGATCAATTACGATCAGCAACAATTGTCTTTGATAATGGCACTAATACTACCGTAAATTTGAACGCTCCGGGAGTAATTCTTATGAATGAAGAAACCTTTAGAAAGACAATAACCGAGTTTGCTAGAAAAGAACCTGAAGAACCTGTTTTAATTGAAGTAAGTGTTAATAGATCTTTATAATTGATCGATGTTTTTGATACTCACAAAATGAAAACTTAGGGAATTCAAGATCATGATGAATCCTCACAAGTAGAAGAACAAGATAAATTAATGCATAATGTTCAAACCAATGCAAATAATACATTTAATTCAGATTACGAAATTACTGGTGAAACTGTTGTAAAAGCTGCTCAACCGATAAATAAAATTTTTAAAAGTTCAAAAAGAATTGTGAAAGATAAAGTAAAAATTTTACTGTTTTATAGTTATTTGCTAATTTGGGTCTTGATTTCTGATATTTTTTTCTTTTGCCTAATTAATGAAGAACACTTCGAAATATCAGGACCAGGTAACAAAGTTTTAATCTATATTAAATTAAAAACATAATTTAATCTTATTGAAACTTTAGCAAAGAGAAAACGTCAATTATGAGCCTGAAAATAATGAAGAATCTATGACCAGGGACCTGAGTGTTGTCTCCAGAATGCTTGAACAAACGACCCTAGCAAACAATCGTACACAAGCCGATGATATTGAATCTATTCAAGATAATGATCATGTAAGAATTTTCAACTAGTTGATTAATAAATTAAAATTATTAATATAATAAAAACTTGATAGGAAGAAGACTTTGATGTAAGTGATGACGATTCACCAGAATGGTCAGAATGTGAAAAGTGCTATGGAAATGAAAAGAAATTATGTGAATATTGTGGTTGTTCTGTATGTAAACGGAAAGGTGACAGAGGTCACATCCTCTTGTGTGATGGTCCTTGTGGCAAAAATTTTCATACTAGATGTTTAAACCCTCCACTCGCAAGAATTCCTCCTGGAAAATGGTACTGTAAGAAGTATGAAAGTGAGAATTTAAAGAAATCGAAAAGTAAAATGCGTGAAATTGATTATCAAAGTATAAAATATAAAAAAAAAAATAATAAAAGATTGAAATCAAAAAATGACAATAAAAATAAGGCAGAAGACAGTCAAAATATAAGGAAATTTTCAAAGAAAAAGAAAACAAATCAAATTAAAAAAAGCAAGACTTTATCAAATACTTTGGGTGCGTATTATTGTTATATCAAGTTTTGGCCAATTTATGTATATTAATGCTACATAAAGTTTTTTTTTACTTATAAAAAATATGTAAAAATTATAGAAAAATCAACTCTGCATAATTTTCCAATTGTTGTTATAGAAGATGATGAACGCTTTAGTAGTGAACAGGTAAACTCTAGTGTGATAGCAAAATTTACTAGTCTATGTTATTTATTTTGTTATTTTTAAAAAGCGAATGGATGAAACTGAGAATGTGCCAGCAACCCAAACGGATACTAATATTCAAGTAAGTATTCATAATAATCAATTTCTACAAATTAAAAATAAATTTACAATCGCCAGTAAAATTTATCAAATTACAAAGGAATCATTCACACAACTCAATAGCTTTCAAAGTTCAATTTCTCGAAATCCAACTTCTCCTCACTCAGTAAATCAAGTTGAAGGTTTAATTGAAGAAGATAATACT